CGTTGCTCCAACAGCGGTGGTATCGTCCCGTGTGGGTGCGTTGCCTTGTGTCGTGCCAACCGCTGGCATGTACCTGCGTAACGGTCCGCCCTGGCAGCGGGAAAGTGCATGAACCAAGTCATAAAACAGAATCTGAAAAAGGATCGGACATTGTGCCGGATGCTGCCTCTTATCCGTAACAGGCTTGCGGCAGCACGGGCAAGGCATGCCCTTGACAAGGGTCAGGCCTGATTTGCTGCTCTGAGTTGCAGCTGTAGCGCCATGAGCCGCCCATTCAGGTTTGTGGGCCTGCCGGATGTGAGACTTGAGCTTGGTATTGTCCGGGGTCCAGAACCCACACAGCAAGCAATGTGACATAAGGTCCTGAGACTCATCAGATCGTCCGAGCTCCACAGCCGTGTGTGTTGTCAGAGTGTCATGCAAGCGCTGCTGCCTGGGATGCAATCTGGGCTGATGCTGCGAATCCAAGGGAGGGTGCGCCGCGTCATCCAGCTCCTGTAGCCTAGCTGGCTCCGAGCAGGCACCTGATAGCAAGTGGTCCTTTAAGCCCTTCATCTGAGGGAATTGCCTGTTGCAGGCCGCACACTTGGGGAGCCCTCCTACAGAGAGGGTGTGGGAGAAGCCTCGAGGGACATATCTGATGACCGAGCCTGGATGCTTGCGGGCCTGGTGGGTGCGAAGACCGACCTCAGTGTCGAAGGCCTGAGCACACGTTGGGCACACGAAGGACGGGGGGGCCTCCTGCTGTGATGTGTCCTTAGAAAGTTGCTGCAGAACGTCTGCATAACTAGTAGAGAGTGCCTCCGCCTGGAGAAGCGCGCGCTGGGTTAAAGAGATGTCCCCCGCAGGAGTTTTCCGCCGTCGAGCACCTAAGCGCTTGACACGATTGGCCTGTCGCGCCTGCAGCTTACGGACAGGGTCCATGATCTCATGGGAGGCGTAGAGGTCAGCCGTGGATATGTGTGTCAGGTGCGCTGGCTTGTTCAGGACAGCTCGAATTTTGCGAGCGTGCCAAGCCCGCAACAGTTTAGCTGTCTCTAGGGTCAAGCCCACATCCACCAATCCAGAGGCTACTGTGGCCCAGACAGTGCTATGCCAAATGTGCAACCGCGATGCAGGCCCCGCCGTTCGTCTGTTGTGAACGAAGCGGCGTACCTGCTGCAATTTCACATTGCCCTCCTGCAACCGGAACTTGAGAGTAGCCTTCTCGAAGTTGGAGTAGGAGAGCATGACGCCGAGATACTTAAAGGACGTCACCAGCGGAAAGCCCTCGTGAGACTTGGACTCTCCCAGTCTCCACATCTTATGGCGGGTTCCGTCAGGCGCGGTGCGCCAATAAGTGTGCTTGGAGATGGCGCGTTGCGCCTGTTGGCCCTCGAGTTTGACCATAACAGTGCATTTTGCACCGTTGACAGCAAATCCATGGCGACGGACCAACTGCAACAATTGCTCAATCAGAGCATGAGCGCGATCCAGGTCCTCCATTGAGTGGATGTCACGGTGAACCGTAAGGTCATCTGCGTAGCCCGTGAGGTAGTCCACCACGGCTCGAACCCCAACAAGAGCTATGAGCTCCCGGAAGATGGTGCCCGTAAGCATGGAAAAAAGTGTGGGGGCAAGCTTACACCCCTGTTTAATGCCCGCAGTGGACTGGACCGTGTCCTCTTCACCCTGGGTGCGAAACGTGTAAGCACTGCCAGCATGCAATGAGGCAACTAGGTCAATGAGGTCTTGCGGGACTCCCGCTTCCTGCAGTGTGCTAAGCAAGTCTGTTCTGCTCACCATGTCAAAGGCTTGTGACAAGTCTAGTGCAAAGCAGATGCCACCTACTAGCTGGGGACGAGTTCGTCCCGAGTGAAGCTGATGCCTGGTTCGTCGGGCCTCCTGGCAGTTATTGCGTACCTGAGTGACATGACCAACGACCCTGCTCAAGGCATCTGAAAGACCGCGATGTGGCTGGTAGGCAAATTGTGGGAGACCCCGAAGATAGTCAGCCGTGTAGGGAGACAGCTGATCTCTACAAGCCCCCGCCAGGCCCTTGCCGTCTGGTCGAATGATGCCGAGGGGACGTAGATTGCCAGGCTTCGTGGCCGGCTTGTTAGGCTTTGGGATAAAACACAAGTCAGCATCCTTTAAGGGCGGCTGAAGTACCTCAGCAGCCGGCAATGGGCGTTGCCCCCGAGATTGCAGCGATGCTGCTAGCGCCTCTCCCGCAGCCGCCGAGCAGAGCCGCCAGGCAGCCGCCGGAGCAGAGCCTTGCGGTACCGCCTTGTGCGGTCTGATGGAGCCTATGTGCTTGGCCAGCAGACCAGCCGGGATTTCCGGCAGCGAGTCCACCTGGTGTGCGAGTGGCGGATGTCTGGCAAAGACCTGTTCCACGTGGTCTCTAAGCAGGCGGAGCTCAGAGGTAGAGTCCAACAGCAGACCATCCGGTCCCTGAAGCTGTGCCTTAGTTTGGGGTTCCCAAGGTCGGAGCTTCTTTAAGGTCTTATGTGCGATG